CGAGCAGGATCGTCAATGCGCACATGAACTGGGGGATGTGTGTGTGGTAAATGTACAGCTTGCACAGAGAGAGGGCCTCTGGCAGCAGGCACTTTGCCACGGGCGTTGAGCTTCGCCGGATCCACTTAACAACCACCAAGGTGGGATCGCCGCCCAGCGCCTTCGGCGGTTATTCGGCCACGTACGCGAAACGCCCAGCGGCTTCCTGAGGAAGCCACTTTCTGAAATTTCAGAAAGTTTAAACGGAACCACTGCGGGCAGGCCAGGCGCGGCGGTGACTGCGGTGGTAAAGCCATTCGACCAGGCACGATGAGACCGGGGCACGGAGTGTGTGTGGTATTACCAGAAGAAACAGTCTGTTTGCAATGCCAACTGCGATTCCATTTGACACAAATTGATGCTATCGCAGCCACTTTTGCGCCATCCCAGTCGCTGTGGCGGCATCATTTTGTGTCAAAATGGCATCGTGGCTGGCATCGCAAACATGTTGTTTTCTACCAGTGTATGCTCTCAGGGGGCATGCTGGGCGAATGCACCGGAACCCGCCCAAGCTCTGGCGGTCGCTATCGCCATGCCGCCGGCGACGCTCCCATCGCCATGAACTAGCTAGTTAGACTAGTAGACTATAGTATACTATAGTCTACTAGACTATAGTAGCTATAGCTGATCCATTCCACGACGAGGAGGGATCTCAAAGGTATGCTCCAAAGCAATGCGGAGATTCCATCGTGTATCCATTGGAGTGCAAATGTGATCCTGTGCACAATGAGCTGGAATCTGCAGTTCTATGCCCTTTGTAGTGTCGCGTTGCTGTCCCAACACTTGAACATTGGGGTGAGGAGCTAGAGGATATAAAAGGGATTGGATATTGGTGTATTTCAGAGTGCTTGGCAGTAATCGGCAAATGGCAGGGCAAGATTGTATTCATTCACTGCTCCTGTTTCTTTCTTGTTGTGGAGCTGACCTGGGCTGACGGTGATGCAGTTGCTGCCTACATTTTTGACAGAGATGAAACGGTACTTTTTCACAGTTTCCTGTGTGTCGTTGCAGGATGCTGGCGTGTGCTGACACTGCGCAAATGTGCACGACAGGTGGAGAGGCGGTGACGACGAGAATGGCGTGGCGATGTCGACGTAGGGGGTGGGCTGCCAGTGGAATGTTGCATGGCGGTGCTAGGGCTCCATCGGGGCAGCAGTCCGGCAGGCATCGGGGCAAAGGAATGGGTAAGGAGACTTGTGTCGTCATTGCATTCATGCTAGTTAGTACTTAAAAGAGAACTGGCAGGTGGATGATTATATAGGTAGTTACCTGGGTAGAGATATGGACGGTAGTTTGTTTGCGAAATTCATTTGTATTTTTTGTAGAATTGTAGCTAGACGACGGCGATGAGGAGTTAGATGCATGTATGTAGAGGGAGTGGGCAGAACTGTTGCGTTGGCAATCGGCTTGGGCACACCTTCGGCGGGCACGGCTGTCCCAATATGTACGCACCCTCGCGGGAGCCATAGTGTCCGTCTTCGGATATCCGGATCCACGAGGTTGGAACATTGAGCAGCTACTCAGTTCCATATTGCCTTATTACGCAAAGATGGCTGGGCATGCTTTCAATCATTGTTTCCTGCATATGCGGTCTATTTTGTACAATCACCAAATTCGTCTGCGTATTGTATCCAACAACTTAGCAATCTCATTAAAAACGCGGCCAATTTTGAATCCATCTGAGTTTGAGTCTCGAAGCGATTGATCAAGCGTTGGATGGAGCCCGTCCGTGATCAGCGATCTGCTGCACTATGAAAAATCGTGTTTGGTAAGGCTTCACTGGTTGTGGTGCACAAATGTTGATTGACAATCCAGCCAGTGAAAATGTGCAGGATATTGATTGCGTCAGAAAGAATTTCGTCCCTCCAAATGGTCCGACACGAGCACACCGTGGTGGAGTGCAATTTCACATGGGTAGGAAATATAGGTACAACACGATGCCGCCATGTTCTCTGGAGAATCTTGACACGACCTGTCAAGATATCCGTTGTCGATACGGAATGCAGCACAACAGCGCAGTGATGCCATAAGCAGCGCTGCACAGAGGGCGCAAAGTGGAAATATTATTGCAAGCATAACACCGTGAACATCGCGGAACCAAACCCATTTTTTCCTCATGTTGCATTTCGACGGAGAAATTTTCCCTGTGCAAATACAATAGAGTACAGGCGGAGGCAGACTATTGCAAGAACATAGCAACGGACAAGGCCCAAAGGAAGGGCAACAAAACACGCCGACTTGTTTTGACAAGACAAGTGTACAGTATACTGTACGTACACTGTACGTACAGTGTACAAAACAAGTGTACAGTACAGTACAGTGTACAATGTCCACTTTTGTGGAGAGCAACACTCCAGCAAAATTGTCGCACTGGGATTCGAGTTGGATTTAAAGGTGGTGGCGACAGTCTATAGACCTATCGTGCCAGAAAGCTGACAATTGACGGAGAATCGCCGGAAGCCCAAGGAGAGGCTCAGAGTACCCCGGGCGTGTCCCATAACGTCTCCCAAGCTCTCAAGTTGTAACTGCGCACTGCACGTACTTCCTAGGAAAGATGGGTACAAATACTGAGTATTGAGCCTCATGCCCAAAGTGGCCAAACGGCGTCGAATGGAAAGGAAAAAAAAGTCAGCTTGACGTCAGGCCTGAGTGCGATGAAATCGCTGTAGTGCCAATCTAACTCATGGCGTAAATGTCGCTTTTGAAACACTGGCGTTTGACAAATGCCGCCATAATTGGACCGTGGCCAGCAAAGGCTTTGAGCTCCCCATGGACGCCTTCCGCTTCACAGCCAGGCGATCTAAAATCTATTTGCACTGCCTTTCCCCCAGTGATGTCGGTGACCCGATGGGATCGTATTGGGGTCCTGCGGATTGGGAGCCCATTCGACTTACGTTTATGTTATGTTTTCATGCATAAAAACGTAAATTTGGAAAAGGGGTTATTTTCCGGATTTTTTACGTTTTTGCTGCTCGCTATGGTAGCCAAGTTACACGATGAAAGTTGGGTACAATGATCAGTACACGGTGCTGTATTTACGTTGTGTTTACGTATTTTTATGCGTTTTTACGCATAAAACGTAAAAATCATTTTTAACGGTAAAACCTTTCCGGTTTTACGGCGTGTTTACCAATCCTGGTGCTTTCTATGCCCTCAACCCCAATCTCAAATTAGACAAGTCACTATCATTTGGCTGGCTCACAGCTTTTTTACCAAACCACCTAACGCATGAATATTAAGCCATTGGGTGCGTCTCTTTTGGCGCGGTGACTGCTGCGGTACGGTTTCTGCAAAAACATCACGTAAGGCAGCCCCCACCCTCGATACCCACGTGACATGCTTCAAGCGATCCCAATATCCCATCATGGATGCCTCTCCGACCCAACCAGACAGGGCCGCGCAAGCTCCAACATCGACGCGACCGCCCTTACACTCTCAGCTGCAGGGTCTCTTCACCACCGGATATTCTGTACCCATCGCCCCCCCGAGGGCTGGAATCTTTGAGTGGAGAGGAAATGGGGCTGCCCAAGGAGGTGGAATATTCTGGCGCCTGGCGCTGGGCGGGCGGGGGCGAAGGATACAAAGGCCGCCGGGGTCACCGCGCGAGGAGCGACGCTGTGTCGTTTCAAGCCCGCCGGAGCCGCCCGCCGCTTCTCACCGTTGAACCTGGTGGGTGTGCGCAGCTGCTCTCAGGCGGCCCATCACGAACAGGACTGGCCGCTGACCGGACGCCCTGGTGATGTGGATGTCTGCCTTGGGCAGTACAGCGCGGTTGGCGCAGTGCCAACCGATGCCACCGCTTGGCGGCTGGGCGTGTTGATTGAAAGATGCAAGGCGTGGACGCGTCCTGGGCAGGAAGGCCGAGCGCTTCTCGCGGCCTTATATGGCGATTTTGCCGAGAATGCTGTGCTTGTCTGGAGCGTTAGGTCCAGGGCCCCGCCGGCGGTGGGCCGGATGGCATCCGCTCTCGGATGCCATCGGGATGGCCGCCGTCCCGGCGTTGTTGATGGGGCCGGGGGGCGCTGAGGGAGCTTGGGCGACGAATTGCTTGCGACGGCCTTGGGCGCATGACCACCTGGCGCTTACAAGCGCGCGCTCCCAGAAAGTTCCCTGGACACGTGTGATCGACGACCTCTTGGGCTCATTCTGCTCAGTCGCATCCGGCCGTCTGCTGGTTGCTTGGGCTTCCCTGTGTCGCTGCTGTCCCCTTGGCTTTGTCGCGCGTGCGTGTTCGCTGCCAAGGGCTGTCAGGCGTGTTGGAGCGAGCGGGGTTTCGCGCCCCTCTGGCCGACGTGGCCGCCGCGGCTGTCTGGTGACCGTCTGGTCAGCGTCGCTGACCACCTGTTGTTGTGGGACGGACTGCACTGAATCGTATTTGGTTCGGCACTTCGGTACAGATCTAGAGTTGCTGTCTGCTCTCGCGTGACGCTCACCTGCTGCGGCACAGTGCCTCAGCACATGCCTTTTGGAAATCAAAAACTCCCAGTCATCCAACCTGGTGGTGGCCGCCGGCGCCTACTCGCAGAATCCTCTTCGCGGGACGGTCACCAGAACTAAACGCCTTCTAATGGATGAATGGTAGTGAGTCCGTCTATTCTGCAATCCAGTCCTTCCCGTTTCAGATCCCTCGCTCACGGTGCCCGCGTTGACGAGGCATACAATTACTGGCTGCACCAATTCGGTTACTTTCTCCATGAAATCGGTGACTGCTTTCACCGGCTCCCTCCAAAACTTACCTAACCTAAACCCTAAACCCTAAACCCTAAACCTGCCCTTACCCTAACCCTAACCCTAAAATTCACCATAAAACTAAGCCTGACCCTAAAACTGAGGTTGGGACATGGTGTGCACGTGATTTAGTGCAAGCAGTCACCGATTTGGTGCGGGCAGTAATACTATTTCCGTTGACGACCGTCCTGCCCGCATCCGCGCCCTGCAGGTCCTCAGGGAACGCGCCCGCCATGCAGCCCCTCCTGCTGGCTGCGCTGCTGTGCGGCCTGGCGGCCCCCTCCGCCGGCCAGAAGAACGGCCTGCCCTCCGACCGCCCTCTCAACATCGCCCACCGCGGCGCCAGCGGCGAGCTGCCCGAGCACACCAAGGAGGCCTACAGCCGCGCCATTGAGCAGGGCGCGGACTTCATCGAATGCGACGTCGTCCTTACCAAGGACCTGGTCCCCATCTGCCGGCATGAGCCTGACCTCAACGACACCACCGACGCCTTCGCTAAGTTCCCCAACCTCCTGACGACCTACATCATCGACGGCGAGGAGTTCGAGGGCATCTTCTCGACGGACATGACGCTCGAGGAGGTCAAGACGCTGCGCGCGGTGCAGAGCCGCGAGTACCGCGACCCCAACTTCGACGGCATGTTCGAGGTGCCCACCCTGGCCGAGTACATCGACATCGCGCTGGCGGCGGACCGCGTGATCGGCATCTACCCCGAGACCAAGCACCCGTCGTGGCACAACAGCCTGGACATAATGCCGGAGGGGACGCGCATGTCGGACATCGTCCTCGGTGTGCTGAGCGACAAGGGCTACGGCGGAGACGTCGAGAGCGACACTTGGGCTGCCCAGCCCGTGTACATCCAGTCCTTCGAGGTGCGCCTCGGGTCCCGAGTTCCTCGGTCGCGTACGGTGACCGTTTGAGGACCGCCGCCCTCGTGTGCACGAAAATGGGCGACGCGAGGGCTGGCAGGCACATCGTTGTACTTTGGGATACGGCAGAATTCGTCAGCATTCAGTTTTGCATAAACATGGCAATGAGGTAGCCGTCATCTATTTTGCCCGAGCAAAACAGTGTCTATGATACGGCAGAATTCTCTTGAGAGTGTGTGGAGCAAGCGATCTAATACGGGATCGAATGCTGAATTGGATGCTGTGGTTTCGATGCTGATGCGCTTTGGGATACGTTAGAATACCCTTGAGATGATTCTCGGTCCCCTGGGTCGCGTTTGGTGACTCTTCGAGAACAGCCGGCCTCGTGCGTCCGAAAACGGCCAAAGCGAGGGCCGACGGGCACCTCGATGCGCTCTGGTTATGGCAGAATTCTCTTGAGAGTGCGTGGGGCAAGTGATGTAACATGGGACCGAATGCTGAATTGATTGCTGTGGTTTCGGTGGTGATGCGTTTTGGGATACGTTTGAATACTGCTGAGAAAGTGTGGAACGATTGATCTAATATCGAATCAAGCGCTGATCAGCGCTTCACTTTGTGAGTTGAATGCTGTGGCGTTGGATGCTGAGCCGAGTGCTGAATCCGATATTGTTGAAGTGGGTCGGCCCTCGAGTCGATGGCAGGCACAATGCCACGCACTGCGTTCCCTCCACGTTGCCTGTTCCAGTGTTGCCATCTGCGTCAATCCTTTGGCATCGCTTTCAGAACATGGCGAGCCTGCAGGCGAAGGAGGGCACGACTCAGTTCGGCCTTGTTCTTGTCGCAGGTGGGCAACCTGAAGTACCTGTCGAACATCACCGACATCCCGCTGGTGCAGCTGCTGGGCGGCTGGGAGGGCTACGTCACTCCCGACACCAACCAGACGCACCAGGCGATCACGACCGACGAAGGGCTGGACGACATCGCGTCCTACGCGTCGGGCGTCGGCCCATGGAAGGACACCATCATCGCCACCACGGCCGACGGGTACTCGGATGTGGAGGGCGCGACGGATCTGGTGCAGAGGCTGCACGACCGCGGCCTGCAGGTGCACCCCTACACCTTCAGGAATGAGGACAGGTGAGCGGCCCAAGACACGCACTTGGTGCTGAGCATTCGCGCTCAAGTCGAACAAACCGTTGGGCTTTTGATCGGATCTCAGAATTTGGGCAACCAATCCCAAGCGCTGACCATCGAAGCCCTGCATATCATCAAGAAGATTGCGACGTCCACAGAAACTCTCGGACAAATGGAGTGCACAAACGGGGGCCCCGTCAATGGACCTGTCAATCATGTGACGATGCTCTGCCTCTGTGCCTTCTGGGGGCCGTCAAGTGTGTGTTGCAAGTGCAAATGCACAGTTGGCGCAGTGTGTGCGCCTCCAGTGTCCTTGACCTGCTTCGAGTGCGTCACAGTCACCACAGACAGCGTCGGTTAGAATGGCCGTGGTCGGTGTGGGGTGCTCTTTCGGTTCGCACCATCACGTTCTGCAGGTCGGTGCATAAATAGTGGGCAGGTCACTATTAGTGGTGTTTTCAGTTGCTTCCTGTTGGCATCAGTACTGTTACTTGTGAGTGGCAGCTCCTTGTTGCAGCAATGTGTGTCATCCTGACAAGCGTCGGTTGCTGTGATCGTTAGGTTCCTGAGCTGGACCTGGGGCCAGGACTACGCACGGGAATACACGGAGTTCATCGATAACCAGGACATTGACGGGCTCTTCACCGACTTCCCTGGATCGCTGGCCAAATACTTCGTGAACAAGGCCAACTAACTTGGCATGTCAGCTGCATGCACGTTGTTCTTCCCCGCTGGATTGTTGGATTACGGGACAGGCATTTGCTGACACCCGCGGGCGCATAAATTGATGAACCGTTGGTGTGGTTCGCGATCCTCTTCGGCCAATTTTGTCGGCCAGTCGTAGGCAGCCAAATCAATGGGGCTGGGTGGGTGGTGGCGCCGACGGATGGGAATGAGCGCACTGCAGCGCATGTTCCTCAATTTTGGCGGTGCGCTAATGTACACAGCACTTTTAATATCTAATTCATTTCCTGCACGTGAACTCATCCCGTTTGGGATGTGATTATCGGGAGCACTGATGAACTCCCAGGCGAAACAGCTGCACGAGCATTGGGAACATTCAGCAGCCAGCAGACTGACTGAATGTGAATGCTAAGTATTCAGCAACGTGCTTATTGGAGTAGAGCGATACAAACTCTCCAGTTGCCTAATGCAACATCTGCACAGATAGGTTCCAGACCTCGGCTCCATGGACTCCCAGTGGCTTCGACTATCCCCATTCTGGGTGAACTCTTCAGTTGAGGCTTTGACATGGCATTGCTGAAATTTGCAAGCAGTTTCAACCTGGAAAACCCTTTCACCGCCCCAACGAATCCGTTGCGATCCGGAGCGCATGCTGGTTGCAGTAGACCGCAGTTGTCCCTTGCAAGTGGCCTCCAACGACGTGCTGTAAACGTGCTGAAAATGTACGTCGCACAGAAGATGAGATGGCAGTCGCCTTACGGCAGTGCCTCCACTCAAGATGGGCACAAAGATTGGCAATAGGGGTGGTACGCGGGTACAGGAAACCCGGGTACCCGGGGCGGGTACTGGGTTTTTTAGTACCCGCCTACCCGGGTACCCGCCAACCGTCGTACCCGGGTAGGCGGGTACGGGTACGTACTCGGGTACAGGCGGGTACCGGCGGGTACCCGGATTACCCGGGTACTGCACGTTTGACCAGCGGTCGCCCGGTGCACTGCTTCGCACGGCGCTGGTTTGCGCGAAGGTTGCCCCCGTCCATACTGTGTGGCTGCGTCCGCAATCGTGCACGGCGCCGATGCTCTCCACACACTGTTTGGGCCGCGCATTTGGAGATCTGGGGGGCGCCGGCGCGCCAGACTGGGGGGAATATGACAGGTTAGAACGTGGATATGGTGCCACTTGGTCGATATGGGGGCGCCAGCAAGCCGGAATCGGGGAATCCGACGGGTGGGCATATCAACGTGGTGCTGCTTGGTTGATCGGGGGGCGCTAGCGAGCCGGAATCGGGGAATCTGATGGGTTGGAACATCGACATGGTGTTGCTTGGTCGATGCCAAGTGATGAAGCGGGGGAGGCCAGGATTGGTCAACGCTATCGTTGACCAAAGGGCGTCCAGCCCTTTCCACAGCGTTCCAGAAGAAACGCACGGTTCATGGAAGACAACGTCAGGCGAGGGGTGCCGTCGTCATTGCGGACTCCGTTAGACAGCCGCCGGCCAAGCGCGGCGGAGCGCGGCCAGCCAGCGCTGTGTCGGCGCAGGGGAGCATCTTTCCGTACCCGGGTACATACCCGGACCCGGGTACTGGGCGTACCCGAGTACCCGGTCAATCGCGGGTACCCAACTTCCGGAAACCCCGGGTACCCGGGTCCGGTTTTGCCACCCCGGGTAGCATCCCTAATTGGCAAGCAATCCCATGTGCAGCACTCCCCGAAGTATCTGGGAGAGAACACACATGAACGAAAAGCAACGTGCGCCACGTAATGTGGCGCGTGATGGAGGGACAGCAACTTCTGTGCTCGAAAATCGAGCAACAGCAACAGCAACAGCACGCACGCCAAATGCAACACATTCATAGGGCAATCCATAATCTGGACACGAGTTGGCCCATTCAATGCCCACATCCTTTCCAGGAAACACGCAAATTGCCCTGAGCCCTATGAGCCCACGCTGCGAAACTACTGACCAAACAGATCCTGAGTAAAATATTAAACACTTGCGTAAACCACGGCCCTGATTCTTCGCCCATTCAACGCCCACAACTGTGCCAGGAAAACTGCAATTTGCCCTGAGTCCTCTCAACCCACGCTGCCAAATTATTTTGATCAACTAAACCCTGAGAAAAGTATTCAAAAATTGCGTAAGCCACATCCCCGTCAGCATCCGCGAAAAAAGGAAAGATTGCTGTCCGCGTCGACCCTCATTCCGCCCGCCTGAAACGCGCCCAGCACCTCGCGACATCGCAGCCCGCCGTACCTCAACCCTTGCCCCAAAATTTCTGACAGGACGTCCCGCCGTGTCCGCCCCTTTTCCGGTCCCACCCCCCCGGCCCCGGTCCGGTCCGGCGGCCCTTTCCGGACCCGAGGCCTGGACCCCCCGGGAGGCTGCACTGTCAGCCGATTGAGGGCGCCACTTCTTAAGCGGGCAGCGCCATCGGGACCCTGTTTCCTCACAGCGTAGCGCAGCGTGCTGTGGACACTCCCCAACTCCCAAACCCCCGCTGGGCTCACCGGCCGGACAGCACACACACGCCGGCTCCGCCCTCCTCCCGGCCGCTGGACGACGGGCGCCGAGCGTGAGTAGTCGCCAGCTGCCTGGGAGGGGTCGCCCAGCGGGGCTGCGTTTGGCTGATCGGCGCCGTGCCTGCGGCGGGTGAGGGAGCCCGGCGTGCCTCGATCGCGGAGGGCACCTGCGTTTGGCTTCGGGGGCGGTGGAGGAGGGGCCGGGCGGAGCGAGGGCGGCCATGGCGTCTACCAGCCGACGACGCGAGATGGACGTTATGAAGCTGTGAGTGCGGGGTGGCGGGGCGGGGTGGGGACGGGGTGGGGGCGGGCGAGGGGAGGGAGAGGCCGGGGGAATCGGGGGGTCGGATCGCGGCCCGGGGGGGTCCGTGGGAGATGCCTGACCGCGGTCTCTGCGCAGGATGATGAGCGATTGGAAGGTGGAGATGGTGGAGGACAACGTCAGCGAGTTTTATGTGGAGTTCAAGGGCCCCGGAGAGAGTGAGTGCGCCCGACCGCTGTACCCTTCTGGGGGATCCCGCTCGGGCCGGTCCCGGTGCGCTGTGTGGGCGGTTGCGCTCGCAACGGACGCCTGCGGACGGTTTGACCGGCTGCCGGGCGGGCCTGCCCGCCCCCCTGCCGCTGCTCCCCGAGGGCGACCAACCGACCCTGCTGTGTCTGCGACGCGTTTGCAGGCCCCTACGAGGGCGGCTGCTGGAAAGTCCACGTCGAGCTGCCGGATGCCTACCCCTACAAATCGCCGTCCATCGGCTTCGTGAACAAAATTTACCACCCAAACGTGGACGAGATGTGAGCTGCTATCTGCCTTCGCGGGGGGTACCACACCCCCTGCTGCTGCCGCTGCTGCAGCCCCTCCCGTCCCTGCCCGTCATGGTTGCTCTCGCGCTGATTGCCCCTTCTGTGTGTTCCTGCCTGCAGGGCCGGTTCTGTGTGTTTGGACGTTATCAACCAAACCTGGAGCCCGATGTTTGGTAGGCCCCCACCCCACTCCCCCTTGCAACTTTCCGGGCGTCCGCCTTTCCAGCCACGCTCGCCTCGCTTGGCATCCCCACTGTTCCCGCCTCATAATGATTGCTCCCTCCTTGCAGACCTGGTGAACGTCTTCGAGGTGTTCCTCCCCCAGCTGCTGCTATACCCCAACCCAACGGACCCTCTGAACGGCGAGGCTGCGGCCCTGCTGATGCGTGAACCGGATGCCTACTCCAAGAAAGTGCGAGGTGAGTTGTTGCGATGTGCTGACCTTCAATTGCCACATCTTGGGAAGGGTGGCTAGGCAGTTCCCATGCTGGCTCTTTGTGTTGGCTCGTATGCATCGCCTGGAGAAGTGCCGACCTTTCCCTTGTGTGGGGAGATGTGCAGAGATCATGTGTCTGGTGGATTGTGACCCGCGTCGAGTTCTATCCGCAAGTTAGGTTGTGGTCCCACCATCTGCTTAACAATTACTGAGCGTCTGGTCACTGTCTGGTGGCTGACCAAGGCTGCTCATGGCCGACTTAGCTGTTGGAAATCTACTGGCGTGGGTGGAGGATAGTCACAGAATAGCTGCAGGATAGCTGCAGGATAGCTGCAGGATAGCTGCAGTGTAGCTGCCACTTGTGGATATTGACCCTCTTCCTGAGTAGGGAGCAGTTGCAAAGAGCCAGCTGAAGATGTGCAGCTGTTGTTCAGCCCTGAGGGCAGCATATCCCCTCACAGTGCTCTTCAAAGCAGCATTTGGTTACCCAAGCATAGAATTGTGCAGGAATACTGTTGCCCTCCCAGTCCGTCGTTTGTGCCTACTGATTGAGTTTGTCTGCGACAACTGAACTAGCTCATCTGGCAGTTGGTAAATGGGGTGTGTCTTGGGTAGATTGTATCAAGAAACAATGGTGCATTGCTCATAGCCTCACGTCACTGTTGTTGGCGACCTTCCATGGTGTCTGGGTGCTTTGCAGTTGCATTATTGTTGGTGCACAGGCTCAGGCCCATCTTGCTTTTGGACTGGATGGCTGCTTTAACCCAATTTACTTTTGTTGTGGGTTGGACAAGTGGGCAGCCCCGTTGTGGCCATCGGGAGTGCACTGGTATCAAGGTGTATATCAAGGTGTAGGTAATTGTCCAGATAAGCAACCTGTTCTGCAGAAAAGCACGGAAGCTCACTGGGCAGAGCCACAGGTTGGATGGACAGAAATCAAAGGAAAATACCCGTCATTTATGGTGACTTGGTCGGCACTTGTCCAAGCAGAAGTATCTTGGCTGCAATCAGGAGGCGTATCCCATCGTTGCACATGCTTTGTATTCTCACCTGTTCTCAAAGATTGTTCCAGTGAAGCCTGCTGGGTTGGCTTCAAACTTACCTTGTCAGCAGAGAATGTGAGGTGTTCGATCGCGGGACCGCGCCCTGACAATGCCCAACTGTGCTGCCTTGCAGAGTACGTCCAGCGGTTTGCCCGACCTGAAGAGGTCTCGCTGAAGCCGTCCAACAAAGAGGACAGCGCTGACGAGCAGATGACGGGCTCCGAGGGCGGTTTCCTGACGGACTCCGAAGATGAGGAGGGTGGGCAAAGGGAAGATGGCCTGTGTACACAATGACGCACAACACCAGGTCGGCCACGGGCTCGCAGAGAACCGACACATAGGAGGAAGCAAGTTCAGACGAGCTGGCGAAGCATCGCGGCTGTGGTGTTGTACAACTAGCCAGGCACCCAGGAGGGGTGCCTGCAGTCGTGTGCGTGTTTGCCCAAGGCACTACGGGAGCCGTTTGCTGTGCAGGCTGTATATGTATCCATTTGTAACACAGAGCATTGAAACTCGGAAGGTATCCAAATGTGTCCAGGGGAAAAAGAGGAAGCCGTGGGCCATCTTTCGGCCAATAACACTTTCCGCTCAGGCAGGGATGGTGGCAATCTGCAGGGGCCCTGCGAGGTGGGGGCCCGCTGTTGGAGTGCAAACGCAGCGACTGCAGGCACACGAGCAAATAGGACTCTTTCAGTAGGTTAGGGGCTCGATACAGGTTGGGGGAGGTGGCCCAGCGCCGCATTTGTCACGAGCTGGTCAGGGAGTCGCTTGTGGTCCTCGACAGGAGAGTGTGCCGCATTTGTTATTGATCGAAATTGCTTTGTAACGTGGAGTGTAGGCATGGCAGCGCCACTGCTGGCACCATCATGGACACCCCAACGGCATTTTGTCGGATAGAACAAGAGAACTGTGGTGGGCCCCCCTCATGCAAGAAGCTCTGGGAGACCCCAAAGAGGGACATCAGCCAATCAGTGCATCACAGGAGCGGAAGTGGACGAATGCGGGAATCGCACAACAGCATAGGGAACATCGGATGAGCTGCCCTTCACACACGCAATCAACACGGAGTCTTGCTGGGGCCGTGCCTGCGTATGCAAGCGCTTGTTCATGGCTATGCCAGAGAACAAACCGGTGCCCATCTTTCCGAGCACTAAACTACGTGTTAGGGGCACACAAGGCCGCACAATCATTGTCATGGCCATTGATTCAGCCCGGGAGTACCATTTTGTCCGTGGAGCCGCTGGGTATTTGGACGCTGGGTTGTGCACTGGAGGAGACCTGTGGTTATGGGTGGACTGCCCCACGCAGTTGCTGCAGGGCGACAGTCCAAAACTGTTCACAGCGTTTCCAAGTCCTGTTCTCTGTTCTGGCCCGCGTTTCACTGCAATGCTCATCGACAATGATACGCTCGGGGTGGAACTATGTCGGAGGCAGGCATGGCCATGTTCTTGGAGACACCGCTGAGAATGAGTTACAGAGAGGTCGCGGACAGGCATGTCCCCCCAAAGCCACACAACCATCTGCCAACCATGGACCAGTCACTGCCTATCAACACCGCGCCCGTTGATCGTCCAACAATTTGCAGCAGAGTACACCGACAAACTCCATGTGAATACCGTAGCGAGAGACCACGCGGCAGTAATTGCCCGCCGGTGTGGCGAGCGCGACTGCTCGCCTGCCCACCTTTCTGTCGTGCCTGGCACGATTCCTTGGTGCCGGAACCTCCTGGGCGCATATGATGCGCTGTGCTCCACACGCCATGCCTACCCTCTCCTCCGACCATCGTCGCCGCGCCCGGCACCATTCCGGCGGCAATGGCGCCACCTGCACGCTTCTGACGCGCCGCGACGGGCCGCACTGCCGGGCACGCGCGCAAGGGAGGCAGGGCGCTCGGCGCCGATCATCGTCCGGCACTGCCATCCCGACAGATGGCGTCACGCTGGGGCGCCCTCTTGGCCGTCTTGATCTTGGACGTGGCGGTCGCCGCAGGGTAAGAGGACTATCTCTGGCGTCGAGCTGATCGTCTTTCGCATGCGTGCACGCGGCATCGACTCGGTCGAGGCCTTCCGGCGGGGGAGGCGGTGAGATCCGTCGCATGTATCGACGTAGCCGTCTTCCTTGGCATTGGCGATCTGCGTCGCGTGCATCGGGACCGCGACCCCCCGGCGGCGTTCGAGGGATTTGCGGCCGCCTTGCGAAGGCTGGCGGCGCATGTTCGGGTGTCGGAAAGGCGAGAGCGACAATCGGCGCCAATCTGCCATCGCCGTGCCCTGCCTATCTGTCAATCAGGCGTTTCGCGCAAAACAAACATCTCTACCGCAATCGCGCTGCGATTCGAAGCTTGCTCCTCCCGGTTCGAGGAGGCGTGCTCTTCACTTCCGTCATATCAAGATTCGCAGGATTCCAAAGAACGGGTGGCGCCGGGGGGTGGGTGGGTAGGGGGTTGCGCGGGTCTCTGTTGTCAATGTCCATTTGCTGGAGGCTGAGGATTGGAACGTGTGGCGCAACAGGTGTGCCCTGTGGCCGCTGTGGCCTGCGAAGAGATCATCTGGATCCCGATTGGAGGACCTTGGCTGGAGTGGAGAGGCTTGCAATGGAAATGCGGTAAGATTGGAAGAACATGTGACACATGTGCGGGAACGGGAATGGCAATGCAGTGCGTTCGTGCGAACTCATGCGTTGGGAAATGGCTATCATGGTTATAAGAGCCATCCAGTATTGCAGTGAAGAGGGATTGTGTTCATTTAGGGTCTTCTGTGCTATGAATTGTGACCACTGTAGCGCACATTGTATAGAAATATTTGATTCAATATGTCAAAAATTGTCCAAAAGCTTTCATTTACTGCAACAATGAGTCTGAGGACAATTGCTTGCACAGTTGTTGGTTCAGAATATTTGTCCCTTTGTTTTCTGTGGCCAGAATTCTGGTCTCCAAGCAATTGCCTGAAGCTGGTCACACTTCACAAGGAATCGTCATTCACCAAAACTTTCCTGCATTGGTTGTTACAGACACAGACATACAATCCTTGTGCTAGTTTTGCCAATAAACTGTGAACAGAACCGTCGGCTGCCTTACAATTTTGCATAGATCCCTCGAATACCCCCATACCAACATCAAGAGCAAATCTCTTTGCACTCAACATCTATTTGTTAAGCACTGCATGCATTAAACGGACATTCTTATGGTGGGTGCCTGCAAGACTACTATTTCTCCAAATAAGTACAAACAGAACACTGGCATGTTCTGGTGATGCCACCATGAGTTCGTCTGCTTCTCCAATCGCAGGACATCGGAATATTGGCCATCATCCGCTGCCTTCTTTTTGTTGGGATTTGGGTTTGTAGCAGCCGTTGGTATGGGGCCAAGCACAACGACAGGGTGCGAGTGGCCTTGTGGACCATCGGGTACACATTCATGTCGCTGCTGTCAGTCAAAATGATAGTGGTCGCTTCCTGTGGGGCTGAAAGCCGGTGGCCGGAAATGGGCAGTGGCAGGGCGGGTTTGGTGATGATTTTCATTCCCCTTGTACTGGGGCTGCTCTTTGTGCACATGGAGTGCACCAGATTGGAGGGAATCTTGAAACCTTTGGTGGAAAAGTCAGCAGACCTTGAGGCTGGAGTGACTGCGCCCCTCCTTGGTGACCATAAGAAAACCGAAGAAGAGGTAGGTACAAACACCCTTGGTACCCGCTACAAAGTTGCTGTTATGTCTCAATCCTTCATGCATGTGTTTATTGGCATGTGCGAAACGGTGAAAAGCATTGGCTTTGCACCTTGACACGATGACACACAAGTCTCCATCCATTTTATTTCCTTGACATGCACCACACACCACAGCTGATGACGTCCATGCCTGAAAATGTGTCTGACTCTGTCTTTCTCAGGATGTCAAAAGCCAGAATCTTTTCCAGGAGTTAGTGAGGCTGGCACGGCCAGATGCAGCCATCATGTGGGTGGCCCTAGTTTGTGGCATGGCTGCTGCCGTGCTGAGTGGCTTGATCCCCATGTACGCTGGCCAGGCCATTGACTATGCCGCCATTGATTCCAACCGCAGCATGTTCACAAAGGCAATGGTGTTGCTCGTGCTTGCGGCTGTGGGGAATTCCGTCCTCGTCACTGGCCGTGGCGGGCTGTTCTCGCTCCTTGGTTACAAGCTGTCAGTACGGATCAGGCACCAACTGTTGGCATCCCTGCTGCGGCAAGAGATCGCCTTCTACGACGTGACTGGCAGTGGCTCCTTGAGCAGCAGGCTGCAGGGCGATACAACATCAGTGAGCCAGGCCATAAGCCTCAATGTAAATGTGCTTGCCAGAGCCTTGATGCAAATGTTGGTTGTTCTCTTCCTCATGGCCAAGACAAGCTGGCGGTTGACTGTGATCACACTGGTCGTGGTGCCCGTGGGCGCGGTTGTGACTCAGGTGGGGATAGGTGCTGGTGTTGCTCGTTTCCAACTCAAATTGACCTATGTGCTGTTGCTCAATGTGTGTCCTAAAATGTACATGCGCTGGAATGTGCTGAGCAAGGCACTGTTGTCTTGCCATTCTCATGCAATGCAGCAATGGCAGCCTGCAATAGATATTGCTACCCTCTAAAATGGTGGTGTGGCACTATAATGTGATGTTTCACTGCTTGATGCGCTTGAGCCCAACAAGCAGATTCACCGATATAGTGCCATGAGCAGCGCTATCAGTGCTTAAAGCTGATGTGAAACAGTGAAAGTGGACAGCAATGACCAATGTCGATAGCCAGAAAAGTGATACTGCAGGCATTTAAAGTAACTGCATATACAATAGAACACTTTGGAAAACAATAGACCATTTGGAAGCAGGGTTGAAAGGAGTGCTGTTGCCAGGATGGCTCCAATGCCCCCACACTTCTGCTGCCAATTGCCCCAGACAATTGTCCCAGCAACTCATAACAAACCACAGCATTTTTGCCTATTTTACAGTGAATACGTAGTTGTGGGCATGCGCTGCAGTTGGAATTTTTATTGTGTTGGGGATTCGTTGGCCATATTGCCACTGTTTGTCTCCTTCACAGTGTCCATAGCATGTTGAAACTCTTGGAAGCCAGTTCAACAATACCCACAGTCCTGTAAATTGCGAAAAATCCATTTGTGCAGCACTCCGTCCGAGTAACTGTGGCATGTTCTGACCTACTGTGACTTGGGGTATGAAACTTGAGCCGGACGTCTTCCTGGCAACGCCAGCAGAATGCAAGGGCAGTGTCCTGCCCTGAAAGAGGCAAAGTTTACCACTGCAAGTTTGGAAACTTCCCTTGCAGGCATTTGGCGCACGTTATGAGGAGCTTCAGAAGAGCATCCTAACGGAGCTGGCGAAGGTTAACTCTTCCGCAGAGGAAGCACTTGCGGCAATCACCACGGTGGGTCCTGTTGTGCCCCCTTGTAGACAGGCTCACAATCTTTTCTTTTCTATGAAGCAGGCGTTTGGAATTGCCAAATACGCACTTTCATGTGTGTGATTCAGACCTCTGATGCAATCTAGCGTAATTGGTGCACATTCCCAACAAGCTGCCCTCTAAACGATGGCTTGAGGCCACGATGCCTTGTTCCAGTCGTTGACAACTCACAAGCTTTGTCCACATCGGACTGCCCGATTGACTGGGGTCTTGAAATTATGGCAAATCAATGACGTTTCTCCTATTGGGCAATTATGGGCATCGTCCACACCATCTGTAGATCAGAATGGTGAAGTGGGTAGGATTTGCAAGTCAGCAGCTTGCAAATTGGTTTCTTTTGGATGGAAGTTTCTAGCATGTTAATGTTTTGGCCTTCCTTTTACCCATGTGGTTGCTTGTCTCTTGTGCCATTTCACTGAGTTGCGCATACACATGCCAGTAACAATTTGTGTTGCCTCCCGCCTTGACATGTTACGTTCTTTCCTGTGCTGTTACACCAGATTCGTGCCCATGCTGCAGAGGCCTCAACTGAGGCCTTCTATGTGCAAGGCCTGGCCAGGGTCTTCAAACTGCAGGTCACCCAGACGCTGGTATACTGCGGCTACATATGCTTCTGCGCGCTGGCGCCCAATGCCACCCTTATTGGTGTCCTCTTCCTGGGGGGTCACCTTGTTCTGGAAGGGGTTCTCAGTGCTGGGGAGCTGGTGTCCTTCATTCTGTACATGCAGACTTTCGCCGATGGTTTCCAGAGCCTGGGCTATGGCGCAGCCAGCATCTCCAACGCACGGGGGTCTGTGGCAAAGGTGGCGGAGCTCATTCACAGGAAGCCTCAGGTGAGGAGCCATTCGACAAGAATAGGTGTATATTTGTGGCCAAGCAAATAAACAGATATGACAGGATAGGAAGTCCCGCATGGGCAAATCAATAAATAGCTGTTGTGAATATTGCAAATTTTGTCAGTGGATGAGCCCACAACAGGACCATTGTTCACATCTGAAATGTGGATGCCCCCTGGGTGTCTCTGCAACATCTCGCTCCCATGGAAATGGTTTCAGCTAAGCAGATCTGATACAGTTATGAAAACCACAAGAATTAGTGAACGATTATATCGCTTGGTTGAATATGAGTGGATCAGAGCTAGGCATTCCTTCAAAAGAGCGCTGATGTTCCTTCAATATTGTGCCCCTGCTGTCCTTCCTATCAGCCAGCCAGTCTGAATATGTTTGAGCTCACCCTTATCAGCACCTGTCTTGCCACGTGCAGCCACTTTAGAACGCCATCAAAGAGTCTGCATCCACCCTTTTGCATGGCGTAGTGCCTGTGCTGCCGTTCATGCTGTGCAGAAGTTCAGAGCCCCTTCGGTTCCACCAGCAATATGACGCTGTCGACATGGCATTCATTTTCTTGTTATTTGCACAAAGAGTTTTTCCATCCCTGAAAGGAAGAATATCCGTTCCAATGCGATCAACCAGCTCATCATCATTAATCAGCAAATTGATGAGTAAATGGTTCAGCGAGCTAATTTTGCACAGTTGTGCTGATAAGGGGGTGCTTGTTGTAGAGCCCTTTCGTGCTTCTCTTGCGCAGCCACTGCCTCCAGATGACAGCCGTGACCCTGCTGCACTAAACTGTATTGTACTGCACTGCTTTGTAGTGCTCTGCATTGTACTTCACTGCTTTGTACTGCACATCATTTTGTCTGGGGTCGCTTTCCTGCTGTGCCAGGAATGTGACGCACGCTTGCAGCGCTGCTGCGCTGCTGAGCTTGGACAGATATCTGGACGTTGGGCAGTTCAAATTGCAACCAAATCAGCTTAAGACCAGACGATGCAGTCCAGTCACATATATGTATGTGCAAAGCGATGTGTGGCGATGGGTCCAGTGTCCTCAGTGAATATCTCAAATTCGTGCTTTCTTTGGTTGCAGCAAACTTTTCCAGCACTTGAAAGTGTGCACCCTGTGGGTATTGCCGTTCCTCTTTGCATGTTGACTTGGTCTGTATGGTAGCAAGAACAGCAGTGCAAGTCTCTGCAACAGATATCATGCAGCACTGTCAGAACCCTGGTGTTGCTGGCATCACCATGGATGCACACCCACACCTGGAGAATCTCCGGTGCTGATTATGGATGGCGTTGTATGTTGTCCTTTTCTCTCGTATGCAAGCCCTTGTTTGTGCATCACAACAGATGCGCTTCATTGTGCTGTTCCTACTTTAGTTGCATTTGTGGCTGTGATTTTTGACACGCGATTCACTCAGATCGAGGAAGCTGGGCATTACAAGGCAGACCATTTTGATGGCCACGTTGAGCTCAGATCCGTTTCCCACTCCTACCCAACTCGCCCAGACAGTAATGTACTGGAGGACTTATCTGTGGAGATGCGCCCAGGTGAGGTCTTTTGTTGTTGCCTCGCAGCATCGCAAAGGCTTGCACCAGAATATATGGAACAGCGACAGGCTTGGCTGCTGCTCCAAGAATCTGAATCTTTGATGTGTGACAGGAGCCGGAGCATGTGATAACATCAATATGGCATGACACTGATGGGCAATGCAATTGACTTCCTGTTCTATGTCCTTCCATTTGTCTGCATGCTGGCCATGTGTTTGAAACGTGGTAAACAGGAGTCAATGAGTAGGGAAGAACTGAATAGCAGTGCCCATTTGCTGACTGGAAGAATGGGAATTGCTTGGGAATGCGAATTGAAAGATTTCCAGTGCAACCGACACACAAACCTGCTGCATGCTCAAGACAATGCCCTTGTGGCCAAAAGCAACTTCACGCCGAGCACTCCCATGGCAAACGGGCTGTCTTGAATGGGTTTTGTGGCACACAATATTATGGTTACCATCGCCTTTCAGGTGGACATGCAGCACTCTGGCATGCAACCAGCAAAGCCCTGATCAGACTGTGCATTGTTGCAGGCGAAGTTGTCGCCTTGGTTGGCCCAAGTGGTGGTGGTAAGAGCACCATTATGAAGCTCTTGCAACGATTCTACATCCCTCAGTCTGGCAGAGTCTTGTTTGATGGCAGGGACATCAGCGATTTTGAACAACACTGGCTGAAACGAAACGTGGGCGTCGTTGGACAGGAGCCCAGCCTGTTTGATCGGACGATTAGACGAAACGTCATTTTTGGTATGGAGCCGGAAGATGGCATGGAGCCCCCAACGCAGGTATTCGCCAATTTCTTTGCAAAGAGCTTTTGGTTTACGTATTCTGTTGCCCCATTGATGAATGTAATGTGCCAGTTTGACTGCAAGCATTCTGATAGTATGCAGTACGAGTGTATTGCCATGGAAGTTGGAGAGCTGTGACCATCTGTGCGCAGCCTGATTACTCTAGTAGCACATTAAACTGCATTACATGGCAATGACTCTGCCCGTGTGGCCAGTGCCACACTATGGCACTACTATGGCACAGTCCATTCTCGTTGCCTCAACATCGTGCCGCATGAAGTCGTTCAACAGCTGCTGAAACCCGTTGTTCAAGGAAGGGAGGGTGGCATATTGTGATGGAACTGGTGTGATGGAGCTGGTGTTCTGTGTGGAGCAGCAAGAATTCCACTTTTTACATTGCGACCCAAATTTGCAATAGGCAGAGCAAAATAGGCCAGAGACACGTTGGCCGATCGATTTTCTTTGGCTTAACATAACCAAGGCAGCGTATGACACACCTGCAAATGCCATTGAACCAGCCAACAGAATTTCCGATCTATTCAACACCGCGTTCCCTTGTGTGCGGCACACCAGCATGCAGAATGCGTTTTCATTGCTGCTTTGAGCAGTTCCATTGTGTCGTGCTGCTTCAAGTAACACCCACCATGGGGCAAGGGCCTGGTTTGCGTATTGATGGGGCTTTGGTTGTATGTTTGTTGTCGGTTTATCATGAAACGACGCTGAATGACGTTAAGTGCTCGCTTGGGAGACATTGTGGGCATTGCTTACCACTGCCGCCACCCTGGCGGGCTTCACCAGCTTGTTGAATACAAAAGCCCCTCCGATGCAGTTCAAGGAAAACAAACCTCATGGAGGCATTTGCGCACTTGTCGTCGCTAGATTAGCTGCAGCCCTGCACTGCAGCAGCGTCCTGTGCAACAAATGATTATTCTGCATTTCGTCTAGCCCGCGCGAAAAGCACAGTCGCGAGAATGACAACGCCAGCTTGGTGATTTAAAGAAACGAATGGCCCTTTCCTTCTTCGCAGGAGCAAATCGAGGAGGCCTGCAGGATGGCGAACGCCCACGATTTCATATCTGGTTTGCCGGACGGCTACGACACGGTGTGCGGAGAGAACGGAGTGCAGCTGTCCGGTGGGCAGAAGCAGCGCATCGCCATCGCACGTGCCCTCGTCCGGAACCCCAAAGTGCTCATGCTTGACGAGGCCACCTCTGCGCTGGATGCTGAAAGCGAGGTATTGGGCCTCCAGAAGAGTTCGCTGCGGCGGTGGTGGACTTTTTAGTGAGCTCGCAACAAAGCGATCAGTGGTTCTTGTGTTGTGGGGATCTAAAGGGCGCTGAGAAAGGGACGACTTGAAGCGAATGGTTGCCTTTGTGTCCGTGCACGTTATCGAGTGCGCTAGACTGTTCGTTGAACGATATTATGGCACGTTTTCTGTGCATCTTCGCGGAGTGTTCTGTGAACTGTTTGCACTATGTTGCCTGATATGTCACAATTGGAAGACAAGAATCAGATTGAGTGAGAATTGAATGAAATATAGCAATATAGTAGAATTCCAAATTCTTGCAGGTAGCGAAATAGACAGATACACTGAATGGTAAAAGTTGCTCATTTTCAAATCATTCAATATAATGTAGTCTAAACAATACGCTTCCTGAAATCATCTGAAGTTGCTTCTGCTCCGTCAAGAGTACGCCATTCACACTCCTGCTTTAGGAAAGCTGCGAAACAACGGCCCGTGACACCACAACCAGTATTGCACAGTGCTGCGGGGCGCTGCATTAGCAAGCCACACCGTTTGCATTTCCCTCGCCCTGAGACGCTTGATTTGCTCTGGTCGAAGGCACTCGTGCAGGAAGCCTTGGAGCGGTGCCAGAAGAACCGCACCGTTCTGGTCGTGGCCCATCGGTTGAGCACCATCAAGGGAGCAGATAGGATTGTGGTGGTCAAGGGAGGGCGCCTAGTGGAGACAGGGACGCACACAGAGCTGCTGGCAAAGAGTGGTGAGTGGCACAAGGCCCTCTGTCGATGGACCGTCAGGGACACAATTGTGCATGGAGAACTTGCCCGACATCCCTGATAGATGTTGGGGCATTGATCCGCGAAACTCCGGTGAATGCGGACCTCAGAGCTGGCGCCCAAGATGCATCGGGCGTGCTGCCTATTTGGGGTGCTTCCAACCATGCATGACAGGCTAAGCAGGGGTGACATAGTCGTATTTTTGTCAATCCCAAAGGGATGCTTGCCAGTGTTTTGATAGAGCAGTTGCCCCTCTTGATTCTTCGAACGCCTTCCTCGCGTGGGGGTGCGCCCCATGTAGGGTGCTTCGAAGTGGTTGTGGATCCCCTAGGCTGTGGAAATGGCTGTGGTGCTGTGGCAATGTGTTCGCCATTGGTGGCGAAGGATAGCATTGCTGGAACGACTTACCACAGCTGAGATGGCAGCATGTGAAACGCACAGCTAATGTGAGCTGCGTCTTATAGAATGTGAGCGACAGGCAGTCCTCTGTGCAGTACTCCTAGTACAAGTGCTCAGCACTACTCAGTGCCGCTGAATTAAGGAGCAAGCGCAGAGCACAGCATGGTTGCGACAGACGGTTTGTAATTAAACTACAAATTGGGCAACTTTGAGACATTAAGCATTGGAAAACTTCTCAACGCGTCTTCATGTGCGTTTCCATTTGCAAACTACGGGCGCTGCCTTGTTGTGGCTTCGAAGTGGGCACGGTTCGCTGGGAAGGCGATGGGCAACCGCCGTGCCTTGCGGCGTTGGCTGTACATGCTCGCTTTGGCACTGTTCCGTCTCTGTGGTGCGATCAAGCATGTGGTACTCTGTGCATAACATGAGGTTGGTCTGCTGCATGCGCAGGTATTTATGCATCGTTGGTACGGAGGCAGATGCAGGGCATGGGCTCGTCCCTGTCGCTTGCCTCGGAGGGGTAAGGCTGATGGGGAGATCGGGGTGCCTCTGTCATTGTGCTCGCCACTGGCATTGCTTTCCAGGTTGAGTGCAGAGATGTGGTGCCTTGGGGACGGTGCTGGGGTCATTAAGTGTTCACCTTAACGCACATTTGTCTGATGCTTTTGGCGTTGGCGCTGGTCGCAGCGATATTCTTTCAACTGCACGATCACGGGACCCAAGGCCTGAATCATGAGGAAATCGACGCGAGGGGCTGAAAATTCAGGACAGCGCTCTGAGAGGACATGGGTGAATGTCCCTACACTCCGCTCGCTTGCCTCGGGATGGCGAGTGCCTCGGAGTGCGACTCCGCTGGAAGATAAATGTAGGTTCTGACCAGTGCCCGAATTTGGTAGAGACGTGAGCGACGCATTGTGTTCCAGCTACTGGAAGCTAGAAATGCTGCTGTGCTTGCGGCATGCCACATCCTCGTTTCCTCAACGCCGCGCCCTCACTGAACTCGTTTTGACAAGGGGAACAGTCAGGAGCCAGCTCATTCGGATGTGCCTCCAGGGACTGTAACTGTGTTCTGGAAGCACTTTAGTAGTTTTCTGGACAGTTTTAGTGCTGCTGGTGTTGGTAGAATGGTACTAAATTGAAGAATAGCCTGAAATACAGCAGCAAGGAATTTGACAACTTGGCCGAGTCCGGGCCACCACTGCATGCAGCGTCGCGACAGACAGCATTCAAAGCCTGTGCTCATGATAAATGGGGTCCGACACAATTTTTTTAATTGTTTTTCACACTTTTTTTCACTGAGGTTGTGGCAGCAGGGTGATCACTAACAATCCAGGAAGAGACGTTAACTGCCGCCATGTCTGCTTAGATGTGCAGCTGCAGTCTTGCGCATGCATGGCAGCTGCCGTGATGGCGCTGCATAACGCTCATGGGAACTTGCAAAGGGAATTGGAACAGGTTCACAACCATGAACGCAAGCTGCACCGCGGAGCAGCCGAGGTGCTGCTGAATCACAGTGGTTCGAGGCCCGTCGAATAAATGTCACTCGCTGTTGTCGACCAAAGCATCACACCAGTGGCACTAGCTGTCCTGCCGGAAATGGAGCCAGTGAAGCCATACGCCAGCTCGATGGTGTCGTGTGATGAACTGGGACATCAAGCCACCTCAGGCCCGCTCTACCTGAAACTATCCGCGCGATCGAGCAATTCAACACTTTGGCAATCATGCCCCCTGAACTCTGCACAATTTCCCGGAGCCCCATGCCCAGACTTCAGCCCCGGCACATTACACAATGTTGCTGCTGCAGCAGAAGCGCCGCACTGCCTCCTTTTGTCTCTCTTCATAACATTTTCATGACCACGTTGATGTTAATGGCTCCCGTGCGACGTTGAATCTCGTTGTGCCACTTCACACAGATGGCCGCACAAGGACTTTTTTGCGTGCGACTTGCCGCTTTTGTCCGAATTAGGTTTCAATGACCGGTTCGAAGCGCTGGAAGGGAACCCAATTGCGATGGAAACCCAATTCGGACAACGTCCTGCGAGGCTGAACGAAAAAAAGGCCTGTTCCAGCCCCCGCGCCTTACTCAGCAGCGTGCCAGAAACGCGTTGCTGGCCTCCTGGGGCGAAGCCAGGCCCGCTGGCCCAGAAGGCCGGCCCTGGGCCCAACCCGCGCCTTCCCCCACCAACCCACCGCCCGTACAGACACACACACCATGCCCGGCGTGGCCAACACCTTCGTCGTCTCGGGCAAGTCCGGACGGCTGTGGCGCACCAGGCCCTCCCCTCGCGGTGACGGCCTGCTGGCCGCGTTCTCCAAGGCGGCCGGCCATCCCCCGCCTTCCGCCACATCCCCGTTCACCGCTGTGGCCGTGAGCCCCGGCGAGCGCCTCGTGGCCGCCGCGGACGCCCGCGGGCAGGTCTTTCTCTTCGACATGGCGCGCAACCGATACGGGCGGTTGGATCGCCCGGGCAGCGCGGGGACGTGGGTGGGGTTCTCGCCCCGTGATCGCCGCCTGCTGTTCGCGGCCTTTTCCGATGGGATGGTTGCCTGCTATGATGCCGTGGCGAGGTGCAGGTTGGGCACCCTGGTGGGGCACAGGGGGCCGGTGACCGGCATGGCGTTCGCCGCCAGGAGGGATGAGCTGATCACGGTCTCGAGGGACGCCTTGGTGATGTGGGACACGCTGGCGCTGAGGAGGCAGCGGTCGATGGGAGGGAGGGCGGGACGGCGGGGGATCGAAGGCGCCGCGTTCGTTCCCGGCATTGGTGGGATCCTCACGGCATGGTCGGACGGCACCCTGGCGCTGTGGGACGCCGACAGTCTTCGTCAGCGCGGCATCGCGAGGATGCGAGTGGAGTGCAGGGAGGGGTGGAGGGCAGCCGGGATGGCCGTGGCGCCCGGCGGGTGCTGGGCGGCTGTGCACGGCTCCGCGCCGGTGGTTTTCCTGTGCGACGTCGGATCGATGGCGTTCGTGCGGGCGCTGGGCTTTCCGGAGTTCGCCAGCCCCGGCGAGATCACACGCATGGCGTTCATGCCGGACTCAACCACGGCGGCAGCCATGGGGTCGGACGGCGTGGTGCGGTTCGTCGACGTGGAGGAGGGGCTGATCGTCCAGGAGCTGGGGCTGGGGGGCCGGGGTGGCGATCGCCTGTGCGACGTATTCGGCATGGATCCCCGAGGGAACGTGCTGGCCGCGACCACTCGACAGGGCCGTGTGGCCGTCTTCGACCTGGCGGCGGTACGAGGGCGGCCGTTCGTGCCGATCCGCCTGATGCGCACGGCGCTCGTCGATGGGCGCGTCCCGGCGTCCCTCATGCAGGCCTGGGATGCGCAGCCGGCGGTGGAAGAGGGTCGGCGCGTGGCGGCGCGGGAATCGGAGGACGCCTCTGTAGAAGGGCTGGAAATGGCGAATGGGGTGGCACCCGGCGGCTGGTGCGAGGCTGCGGGGGATTGTGGGAAGATTGGGATGGCATCGGGGGCGGTGGAGAGGGCGCTGAGGGTGGTGAGGCTGGACCCCTCCTCCAGGGTGGTGAACAGGCGGCGGCTGCGCACCCTGCTGGAGGCCTTCGGGGAGTACCCCGCCAAGTACAGGCTGCTGATCTGGGAGTTCCTGCTGCAGATCCCCGCCAACGGGGAGGCCTTCGAGGCGCTGTCCAGCAAGGGCCTCCACCCCTCGTTCTCTGCACTCTCCCAGCGGTTCCCGATCCCCGATCCGGCACTCCTGGGCAGGCTGGCGCTGGCGCTCTCCCGGCTGGCCCACTGGTGCCCCCTGTTCGGCGAGGTGCCGTTCATGCCGGACCTGGCCTTCCCGTTCGTCAAGCTCTTCGGCGCGTCCGACCACGCCTGCTTCGAGATCCTGGCCACTGTGATGCTCAATTGGGCGGAGGGATGGTTCAGGCAGTTCCCTGCGGCCCCCACGCCCACGCTGGTCCGCATGGAGGGGCTGCTGTCGCACCACGACCTGCGGCTGTTCGATGCCCTGTCGTCTCTGCCCGGGGGCTTCCCCAGGGTGGCCTGGGGCCTGCTGTCCACCCTGATGTCGGAAGTCCTGTCCAAGTCCGAGTGGCTCAAGGTGTGCGAACACACCTTGTCCCATGATTCTGGGGAATGAGCTCGTCGAAGCACAAAGCCGCGAGCAAAGCCACCGTGTGCCGAGCTATGTTTACACGCAAAGCCACCGTGCGCCTCCCTGGCGACGATGGGCGCAGCAACATCCAGCCTGTGTTTGTCCAGAATCCATTGATAGTTGTTGTGCCCGCCACACCGCTTCCCCTGGGGTCATGCACAGGGAGTTGGTGGATTGATGAGCTTCCTGTCACCATTGTGAGTAAATGCATCGAATGGCCGATTGACTGACAAGCTGAGTGTTGATTATCTGATTGTTAACTAACGGGCTGAGTGACTTACTGAAGGTGTGGGACCACCTTGTGAGCAACCCACCGGCGTTCCTGCACTACGTGGTCCTGTCCTACGCCACGTTCTTCAGGGAGGCACTGATGGCCATCGAAGTAGAGGAGGACATCGAGGCGTTCCTCCACCGGCAGAGGCCCGTCCGCATCAACGAGGTGATCACGGGAGCCTACGCCCTGAGGCACAACACACCAGAGCACCTTCGGCCCCCCGAAGGAAGACTGACGCCGCTGCGGCCCGGCCTGGCGTACCCGGAAGTCTCGGACTATCCGCACCTGACAGTGCGGCATCAGTTCATGGAGAAGGAGAGGATCCAGGAGGAACAGGAAGCTCTGCTGAGGCGGCGGTGGCTGTTGGCGGAGCTGGAGGGGCAGACGCGGCGGATGGAGCAGCAGAACGCCAGCGAGTGGGGAGCATCGGCGCAGGCGGAGCAGGCCGCAAAGCAGGTGCCCGGTGCCGAGTACTTCCTCCAAACGGGTCCAGAAGGCACGGAAACTGCCCATCCAAGGGGTTGTGCGCACTTCGTGCAAAATTTAGTATACTGTCAGAAAATTCAACATTGGATATAAAAGCTGGACCGGGCCAATGGTCCCAGCCTACTGACAAAGTGCCATGTCAGTATCGATTGTCGCCCCACGCGCACGCCGCCAAGGAAACTTCGGCCAACTACAAGCCAATTGTGTTGCGTGCCTGGCTGCTCAGCCCCCACCACACCGCAGTCTGCATCCACAATCCACGCAATGCGAGGACACAACATGGGGCATTCTGCAATGGCTGCAAATAATTGCCTCAGTGCTGTGCGCTGCAATATATTGCGGGAATTTGTACATCTGCCACTGCTGACAACCGACGCATTGCTACCATGCAATGTATGCTCAAGACAATCTTAATATGGCTGGAACACGATCGCAACCTGCAGAGGTGCCATAGCACCTTCGGGGTTCCAATATCCCGATGGATTGCTTTGCATTGCTCCCATACCCATCAGTGGTGGTCACATTTGACAGGAGACTGAGAGGAAACGGCACGAAATTCGATCAATGGAGCAGCAGCTCATCGCGGAAAAGGCGCGGCTGGACGACCGCGCCAAGGGCGAGAGGCTGCGCCAAATCCA